GCAGCAGAAACAAGTTCCAAGAAAGGCCCTGGAAGCACCTACAGAATCCCCTGTGACGCAGCCCTGACTCAGACAAAGCTTTGGTCCCCAAAGAAGATTGAGAAGCTTTAAGTTTAAAGCAAAAACCCAAACAAGCGATTGGAATAAAACCAGGGATGTTAAACTTTGCAAGTGGAGCAAATGCAAAGGAGCTGTTTGCACCTTCCCTGCCCACAGGTGGTTGATCCTCTGTGACCATCTGAGCTGCAACAGAGAACTCCTGGTGGGAAAGGGGTACCATGATGGCACACTTAGGAGTAGGGTGCCTTGAAACGTGGTAGGAAACCTCCTCTTCAGGCTAGCATGTGATCAGGAGATAGGCAGCACCAAAAGAAGGGAAATGAGCATCCAGGTTTGGCTGCTGTGGCTGTAGGTGAGTCAGCCAGGTACAATGGTTGTGTCTCTGCTCTGCCTCAGCCTCTGTCCCCTTGCCTCTCTCCCGGCACCAAAGTCTCACCGATACCTCCACAGTGTCTCTGTGTTTCAGATACCTATTTGTTAATAAGGCTAGAAGCTTGGAAAGCTTTGAAAGGTCCTGTCTGACTTAATCCCTATTGATCACAGACGCTTGATGTGAAGGAATTTTAAATTTCCAGCTGCCGACTGTTTAACAACTTCTGACTTCAAAAGCTCTAGGAGCCTTCTCCTTTTAAATACACTTTCCACTTAAGGAAAATATAGTCAGCCCCTCATTAATGTGTATTTCTCCCATAATTATACAAGTGTTTGTGGTGCAAACGCTCTGCTCTGTGCCTTGTGCACATTCCTCATCCAGGAAATCAATAGGCAATAAGCAACATCCATTTCTGATCTTTATAGAAGCCGTTTGCTACAAGGGCAACTTTTACTCAGTTTTACAATGTAGATGTAAAATAGATGATCTTTAAAAACACCCAGATCTCCTCAGATGACAGCCCATAGTCCCCCAGTGAACCAGGGCATATTTCCCAGTGCCACCTTGGCAGCTGGGAGGGCACCACTACTCCAGGCCATTGTCACCTCCTCCCTCTCAGCTGGAGCTGCCTGTGGGCTGGTCCCCAGGCCAGCTGAGAGCTGCCAGAGGGGCCTCTCCAGCACAGAGGGTGACAGTCTGAGTCAGGGAGCATGGAGCAAGCTTACCCTAACCTTGACCCTAACACTATCCCCTAACCCTAACCCTAAACACTAACCCTAAGCCCTAAACCCTAACCCTAACCCCTAACTCTAACCCTAAAACTAACCCTAACCCTAAACCTAACCCTAACCCTACAAACTGACATCAGGAACCTGGGCTGGTGAGTTTTCCTTCCCAGGGAAAAGGGCCGCTGTTTGTGCTCAGGGGCCTGTGGCCCTGAGGGGGTGGCTGCCTGCAAAAAATCTGACCAGCGAAGGATGTGTCTCAGACCCAGCTTCTGAAACTGGTGGAGCAGGGTCCCAGACATAACAGCTTTCTTCACTGGCCAGTTCTGACTCACCCTCCTTCTGCAGAAGCCATGAGACATAGTGAAACCCCGTGCTCTCAAACTGTTTACAAAATGTACAGGAAGGCACCAGTCCAACTAACTTAATGCTGGTTTTTGGTACTGAGACACACTCAGTTGTGCAGCCTGAGATAGAAAATCTCTGTGGGTGGAGTGAACTGGGAAGCTGCTCCAAGCTATCCAGAGCTGCAGGTAAGCCTGGGACCAGCCCTGGGCATGCCAGGGATCTCCAGCAACCCCAAATTGCACTTTTCTCTGAAGCTGGAAGAGAGGACTGCACTTTTCTCTGAAGCTGGAAGAGGACTCTCACTGAGCCGATACTCAGTGTTTCCCCTCTGATTATGTTATTTTCAGATCTATGTGACCAAAAGGCAGTGGCACACAATCCAGAGGGCCTTCATCTCTGAAGCTGAATGCTGTGTTTCAGCATGAAATAATTGCTGCACTTGATTTCAGAGCTGCAGGAGAGGAGTCTTCTCTGCAATATATTGGAGAGGGAGAAACCTTCTGGATGTACCCTCAGTGGACATGGGACACGGAGCTCTGACACTCATCCCAGTGCTGGCAGCTCAGTGACAGTCCTGCAGGGACCAGGCTGGCTGTGTGTGTGCATCCCCATGCAGCAGCCATGCACAGCTCCTGCACTGCTGCTGAGCAGCTCTGCCCTCAAGGTCAAGTGTTCTTCTATCATGCAGCATTTTAATCTCCTTTGGATATCTTTCAAAACCTGAGCTTGATGAAACTTTTGACAGGTAGTGAATAACAGGAGCATTATTAATTTATGTCAGATGGGACTGAAGCATTTCTTGTTTATCCTTCCAAAATGGTACATGAAAAAATGGACTTTGACCTTGGTTTTGGTTTGTGCTGTAGATGCCCAAAGAAGAAAACATCTCTGTAGTTAGTGTCTTATTAACAGAAAGCATCTACAGCAGGAAGAACAATGTGTTCTGGCCCAAACTTGCAGCTGTGGCCACCAGCTGTGACAGCCCTCTTGCTCTAGCTTTGTCTTTACTGCATTATTTCAGAGGTGGCCTTAAAGAACTGAGAGGAGAGCCCAGGAGATGCTGGTTTAGAAACAACCTGCTGCAATCTGCAGAAGAAACTTCTGGGTCTGTGAAGGGCTCCAGCAGCCCTGGGGATAACCTGACACTTGGCTCCAGGGCCCTTGCAGGCAAGCCAGGAAATGCAGGGAAAATCTGGGTATCTGGTGAGTGAAGATGTATTTAGGAGCAGGAATGAAGTGTGTGCCTTCCAGTCACATAAATTATAAAGACTTTGGCCAGACTCTAGACATCCCACTGGAGATCATTACTCCTCTCTCCCTGTAACTTTGGGTCTTTCCTACTTCAGTTTGATTTTAGACATTGGGAAGTGTTCAGAGATCTTTGGCATGGGTCTTGTATGGCCATTTCCCAAATAGCTGTCTGCTCCTCAGGTTTTCTGTGGCTGCTGGGGCTCGTGCCAGTACTTCCAGTGCTGTCCTCTGGAGCAAGGGCTGCAAAGACCATTTGGCACTGACTGCAGATGGGAATACCTTGCTGTCTGCTGATTTGTCTGACCTGCTCCTTTACTTTGTCCACATGCTGCTGACTCTCCCCTTGGGAGCTAATTCAGAGCAGGTATCAGGAAGTTCTGCTCTCCTGGGGTCTCTATGCTGGTGGCCTGGCAGCTTGAGCTGAGAGGAAATACTTGTCTGCACCCTTTGGACTGCAGCTGCTCTTTACAGAGTTTGGGTGTTGTTTTGTTTGTGAGCTGATCCTTCGATATTCTTAGAATAAAACATAATATAAATAAGTGAAAACACATTTGCCTCACCTCCACTCCTATAAAACCTGTTGTGTATAGTTTTCTCCTACATAACCCACCTGACTCCAAGAACAAATGTCCCTAATTTCTTCTAGATGATAGGCTTTGTAGAGATTTAAAGGGCAATTTCTCTCTCCTTCTCGTAGCTCTCACAAAGTATTACAATAAGGAACTGCAGTGACAGACAATACTTAAGGCATGGTTTAGAAGTGATTCATCTGTGAAACACGGTGTAGCATATTTTATTGTATTTTAGCTAGTAAAAGCTGTGCCTCCTAGCTCAGCTCTGTCATGCTGCATGGTAAATTACACTGATAGGAATCCCAGCCACACAGCTGAAAATAAGTACCCTCTATACAAGAGTTAATGTGGTAGATTTGTACTTAGACATGTATTTGTAAAATATTTAAGCTGCACAAGAAGGGCGTCTGTAGGAAGATATGATTACAGGATCACAGAAGTGCAGCACGGGTTGTCATATTTTAAGGTTAAAGAACAATCATTAGGCTTTGGTGGAGGAAGGGAGCCCTTTGAAAAGCTGAGTGGGGAACAGCCTGGGTCTTGCATCTGCCGTTCCAGCTGCAAGTCAGCCCCAGCTTGAAGGATGGTGTTTTTACTGGTTTTGGGACCCTCTTATATCACTGTCTTATGGTAGGAGAAGAGAGCTCCAGGAATTGCCTTCTTGTGGCAGCACATGCTTTGTGCCTGCCACTATCCAGGCAGAAAAGCACAGCTGATCTTCTCAACTTTACAGCAGTACCTCGTCATCCCAGGGCTGTGAGTGCCTTCCAAACACACACAGCACTTTAAAAAGCTCCTCAGCATATCTGGGCAGCGCCTCTTGGCACAAAGCAGTTCAGTCTGTAGTGCAACAGCCTTCAGGAAAGCAGAAAACCTGTGTGTGGGTCCTTATTGCACTGGGGTGATTTAGTCCTGCAGAGAGAAACACACACCTCTGTGCCATGACTGCCAGCCTTGAATCTTCTGTACTCTTGGGGCTTATCTATTCCCACAGTGCTAGCAGTTTTCCAGCCAAATGGAAAGTGGGACATCTTCAGGTACTACAGTACAAGGTAAAGTATTGGAAATTTTTGATTGCTGATTCCTAAATCACACCCGGTCTAAATAAGCTCCAATTCACTGAAGTGTTTTAGCAGCCTTCCCTTGACTTCACTGAGCTCTAAGCAGATGTTTAAACTTAAGTGCATGCTTGAGTTTTGCTGAATCATGCAGCAATAAAATATGCAGAGTTGGTCTTTAACATAACCTCCTGATTCATGTGAAAACTACACGTTTCCCGCAAAGCCTCCTTTGAGTTAATTAATGAGCATTAAGGACTCACATTTTTCTAGCAAAGAAGGGCCCCAAGGGATCACAGCAATTTGTGTTCATACCCTGAACGATACCAGCACAATCTTCCCATGGAGACAAAGCCTCGAGCACTCCCTCTGTGATAACCAAGCACTTACATTTGATGGATGGCTTTTGGCTGCCTCTGACACCCCCTGGGTCAGGCGGGAGGACCTGGCCTCTGACCCGTCCCTTTCATCCCCTCTGGCTGGAAGTGTGCCCACTGCATGGCTGATTTTTGGGGGGGATGAGGGCAGTCTGCACCCTGGGAAAGCAGGGAGGGGAGTGGAGGGGCTGCCTTCTTGAATATGAGTTCCCAACATTTCCTAAATCCCACCAACTCCCCTTGCTGTTGTTACAGCCTTCTCCACAAGCCTGACCAAAGGGGCCTGTGATCCGTGTCGGCAGGACATGCCAGCCACAGGAAGCCCTGGCTGTAAATTTATTTTGGAGCAAAGCAAAATGAATCAGAGCAGCTGGGTGTGACACAGGGAGGCAGACTGAGTGCCTCTGGAGTCAGGCACCACCAGCCCTATGGCAAAGCATCCCAGCACCTTGTTAAGGTGGGACTCGAGCAGCCCCTGCCATAGGAGGGATGGGGATACTTCTTCAGGACATAAAGACACAGATTCCCAAAGTGCCAGGAACAGAGCAGGAGCTGAGTGCTGCAATGCAATTTTCTTGGTGACCGCTTTGTTCGTTTGGCAGCCAAGGTTTTACAGAAATGACCTTGGTGGCTGTGAGCTGCACAGCTCAGTGCTTTCAAGGAAGTCACAGGGAGTTCCAGGTTGGGGAGACCTCCTCCACCAGCAGATTATCCTATAGAGCCCATTCCTATAGACTGAACAAGCTCCATATTAAAACTACATAGGTTGGCTGAGGGTTTTTTTTTTGTCCTTGATATTTACTCCCCACTACTGCTCTCCCAGGCTTGTTCCAGAAGCTTTCTCTGCTGGTGAGAAACTGTTTAATTTCCACTCAGACTTATGTCAACATCGCCTGGTAGTTATTTCCCTTCTCTCTATTTATCCTCCTAGAAATCATTGCTCAGCCCATTCCCAGCCCTGTGTGGTCCTCCTTCAGCTGGAAAAGCAGGGGAAAAGGAGGAGATTGTTACAGGAAGCACAGGAGCAATAAAATCAGTGGTTGTAGTAAGATGTTTAGGAGGAGTGAGCCCAGCAATGACACACACTTGGAATGCTGCTGGCAGATGGGGATGGGAGAGAGGGATGTCCCAGGGAAAGGAGCTATTTGTCCTCGATGGGTGAGGGCACCTTATGTTTGGCCCCCAACCAACTGTTCCAATAAAGGAGTTAAGGATGTTCCAAATGTCTGCAGTTAGGAGGAGCAATAAAGACAAGGTTGATCAGAAGGAGGATACTATGATATTTCATGAAGCACTTGAGCTGGACTTGAAACAGAGAAGTATGTTCTTCATTTCACACTCTTTGTCCCCATAGGTGGAAAAACAGGATAATAATAGCCAGTCACCTCTCCCCAGGGTATTGGGAGGGTAACGTCTGTAAAGGGTGTGGGCCATTTAAAGCAATAAAGAAATGTGAAGTATCATTATTATTAACCTTCCTGTGCCTCAGTTCCCCATTTGTAAGCTCTCACCTGGCACATTTTGATTGCCATTTCCTCAGGGAGCTCTGCCCAAGGAGATCTCAGCTGGAGCTGAGCTCTCCAGCTGCTGCCACTTGTAAACAAGGCCCACTTGTCAAAGATGCTGGGACATGCTGAGATGGACCAGATCAAAATGTGAAGCTGATCAGAGTCTTAACAGGGATTTTTTTGTTTTGTTTTTCTGTTATTGATGAATTCTATTTACTTTTGCAGTGCCCTTGTATTTCTTGTCTTCTCTATATCTTTCAGCTGGTTTCTTATATCAGGTTCATAATACATTGCTTGAACTGTTAAGGGAGTGCCTTGTAGAGGGTGTAATTTCACCCATCTCTGCAGTGACATTTCCTATCCTTCAGGACACCAGAGATGAACCTCCTCTTTCAGCAGCACAGTTTCAGGTATGTAACTACCTCTGAGCCATGGAGCTTGAAGTAAGAGAAATGCAAGGCAGAGGGAGAAGGCTTCAGGAGATTGCAAGCCTGGGGATAGAAAGCTGAGTAGTGCTCCAGGCTTGTAGCTGCATGTTGATTTGCATGTCTTCATTGTGCTGCTGTAAGGAGCTGCAACTTTTCTTCTGCACATTTCCTAAAATACGGTGTTACTGATCTTTGCAGTTGGTACAAAATGTGGGGAAAGATTTTGTGGGTGTCAGGGCTGTTGTTTATCTGCCTCATCTGAAGCCTGACTGCTCTCTTACAGTGAAATGAGCCCTGTATCTGCTGAGCCGTGTGTCACTTCAGTTCTTCCCAAAACCTCCTTGCTGTCTTAATCTAGCAAAGTTGTTTTTTCTTGAGCTTGGTTTGTTTGTCAAGTGAAGCATCATACATTGCCTGGAGCCAGGATGCAACTCTTGAAACCCAATAGTTTACAAGCTGCTTCTTCAGAAAGCTCAATTTACTTGCGATGAGTTATTCTGAAGTAATATTTTCTTTCCTGTTTATTTTTTCTGACAGATCTTCTGCTTTCCCCATTCCCTGTCACTTTAAACCATTTATACACAAAGTAAGCAGTTTGGGTTTGCCCTTGTGACTTTACTGGAACCAGTTGCTTATTCTTATCACGATTCTGCCAGCAAGTGCTTCAACAAAAGAAATTGCAAACTACCCACTGCAGCCACTGCATTCCAGTGCAGTTACAAGTGAAATCACATCCTAGTTTTAGGTTAATGGTTGGATATATGGATGCTGAAAGCGCTCTGAATTTTGCCCTGTGAAATGCTGCAGTGCCCAGAGCAAGGTGCAAGTCTGAAGGAGAACACACCCTGTTCAGAGGGAGTATCCAGCTCTGCAGTGGTCTTTTGGTCTTTCCTCAGAGGCTGGGAAGGGTGGTGTCACCACTGACAAACATACAAGATGCACTCAGCCGATGAAGGAAAACAAATCTTGAAATCCCACCAACTCATGACTGAGTCTGCCCCTTCTGTCTTCCTGCCATGGGCTCACAGAAACATTTATTTCTTCTTTTGCAAGGATGTTTGGAGCATTCTCTGAACAATAGTTTCTGTTTGCTTTCGCAACACTAGAAATAACTAGAACACAATGCTTGGTTTGTTTTTATTTCCTCTAGATTGCCATATCCAAATGTCTCTTCAATCTACTATATTTTAATACTTAAGCAAGGAATTACTCATGGGACTCACTCTTTTTTTTTTTTTTTTTTTTTTTTCTCTTGAAGGCAGTCCCTGTTACTTCACAGCATGAAAACCAAATGGGAAAGTAATCTATGCAAATTACATGTGCTTTTCACGTTCCCTTCACTCACGGTAATGAGTCACTTGGCATAAAGTGGACTGTTACTATGAACGGAGAAAGCACATCAGGGCTGTGCTTCTCAAGAATTATTTCCACTTGCTGCATCTCATTTTGGCCTGGAACCACAAGGGGTGAGAGTCTGCTGTCAGCTCCTCTGTACTTGAGGGACAGTAGCTCCTCGGATTTTCACTGGTCCCAGATCTTGCTAACTGCTGCTGCTGAGGTGGTGCCACATGGGCAGTCATCAAAGCTGTCTCCCACAGCTCCTAAATACTGGCCACAAAGCCTTTTCCTGTAGGAACACTGAGACTAAGCCAACAACTGGCCTCGGTGAAGAGGAAGGCAGAAGTGAGTCCCGCCCCACATGCAGTGTCTGAGAAGTGACTGCTCAAAGTGCAGCCGGTCTGTCTGAGGGACTGACTCCTGCCAAGTCAGCTTCCATCTCAAAACTGGTCCTGTTTGTGTCAGACCTCAAGCAGAGCAACCTAAATCAAATTATCACTCTGAAAGATGTTTTTTCTTGTAGTTTTTCCTATATGGTAATTAAGCCAATGGCCAGATGGTGAGGTCTGGTGCTTAGACTGAAAACACGGGTGCCAGAGAGCTTGGATTTCCTGCTCTTGCTTAATATAAGCACTACAGCAAGAGCAACTCCCATGGGCATGACATGTTACACCTCCCCTGACCTTACACAGGCTTGCATTGCTTTTTCTTGACTAGAATACGTAATTCTTATTTATTTATTGTAATGGAAACAGACAACTGACACTGAAGTATTATGACACTGCTGATTGATAGTTGAATGACAAGCTGCAATGTCACTTTCTTACGAGAATAACTATCCTGAATTACAAGGGTAGTGAATTGAAACACATCCTTTAGAAAGATGCCTAATCCCATTTTTAAAACTCTGAGTGATGGTGAGCCCGCTATCTTGTCAAGTCAGGTCTTTAATTGCCCTCACTGCGAGGACAGTGCATCTTATATCAAGTTTGGTTTTAATCTAATGGCATTGACTTGCCTTGTGACCTTGGAAGAGAAGGGATGGATCAGTTGTTTAAGGCTAAATTGATCCTAGAATTTATGTATTAATACACCTGCTCTGCAGAGCCTCCAGAGTTGTTTTGAACAGCTGAACCCTGAGTGGAGTTTCAAGTTCAGGTCTTAATTTTTGTGTGTACTTTATGAGCATCACTTTCCATTATCATTAGCCTGGGATTTAAATTTTGTTAAGCAGCTGGCCTGGGCTTGGTCTGTGCAGTGGCAGGTAAGACACTTGATTAAGTCTGTGACTCCTTCCTGCTTCCTGAGCTTTGGGAGGAGTAGTGGGGATGAGCCTCTGTTTTACTTGAGATGTCATGGTGAACACCTGTAAACCCCAAAGAGAAGAAATGCCACAGTTTTGGCTTCATTGCAGCACTACCCTGGTTGGAATACCCAGAGAAATGAAACAGTACAGTCTGAGTGACAGCCCAGGTGAACTGTCGCACATCTGTCATCAGAGTAGCATTTAATTAATTAGGAGATAAATGACGATGCCATTAGGAGTGTATTGAGACCAGTGAGAAATGTTCCAGTGTTGACAGAAATCACCTAAAATAGCAGTCACTGAAATAGCTTCTCAGGTCTACACTGTTTTTGACGTGTTACTTAACACTGGGGAGCCCCTAAGCTTTAAAGCAGCATCTCTCTACCCTGATCTAGACAAATTACTTTTGTACCTTGATCTAAACAAACTCTGATCTCTTTGCTGCTGTTGAACTCACCTTGTCTGAAGCCTAATCTGACTACTTTATTCTACCTCTGTACTGGGAATTCACTCTATCATTAGCATTTCAATCTGTTTAATTCACTGAGGGTCGCTGAGCAATGTAACCGAATCCATGCAAAGCTACCACTGGCAATTTAGCTGTCAGATAGTCTCACCTTCTATTTTTAGTTGCACTCAAATTCCTTGCTTAAGGGGGTGCACACTGAATTCTGGATTAGCTTCCCCCTGACCCCTCTATTGTATCCCTGCCAGTCACGTTTAGGTTAAAGCCCTGTTTATGTTGTTCTGTTACACTAATTGCAGCTCGTCCAAGGTATGGACAGTATTCTGGGAGACTTTACTGACAAGCCAGAAACTCTGGGATTAAGCCCTTACATTTAGAGCTGAGAGAAGTCTGCATTAGTGCAGTGGAGAAAGTCTTTGCTAGGGAGACTTGTTAAACTGCAAAGCCAAGACCTCCAGAATCTTACAACCTAATTCTTTAGGCTGGATGGGCAGTCTCATCTTTGGCTCTCCATAAGACATTCTGTAGTGCCAGATGCTTACTCTTGAGCAGGGCAGGAATAGCATTGCTAAGGTTCCTACCTTCAGAGACAGGAGGTTAGAATAAGGCATGCAGCTGTACCATTTCTTTTCTAAAGAATTATTTCAAGCAGCTGTGCTCCCTGGCCTTCCGTGTCTTTTCAGTTATTTTCTCTTGCACAGATTCCACTACATCTTATTTTTATATTTATTTTCTCCTGGCACAGCTGTCTCCCCTAGCTTTGTGCTCTAATGACCTTCTTAGCAAGTACATATGCTGTGGTGTATATTTAGTTTTGAACCAGCTTATGGCTCTTCCTAGGTGCAATTCAGGGCAGGAAGCAATTTATTCCTGTTAACAGAGCTGTGTACACATGTGTGCTCTGCCTGTGTTAGCTACACTTTGGTTGCCTGCTGAACTCTGTATTCCAGTCACCTTGAAGTCTAATTTAAAAATTAAGCAATTAATGTGTATATTACGCTTTCAAGAAGCATCTTTCTACCCTGATCTAGACAGATTACTTTTAAACTTCAATCTAAACAAACTCTGATCTCTTTACTGCCCTTCCAACATACAATAAATGTGAACATAGGCAGAAAGCAGGCTTTATTGGGAGGAAAACAGTCAGGCTGGTCATTTAAGGTGTAAAATTCTTGATCTGTCCTGTGACTTCGAGGTCACTTCACTTCTCTTACTTTCTTCAGGCTGCAGCTGCCATGCAGCCTCTGTGTCCTGCTGCTGTTTGCTGTGATAGATGCCCAGTGCATGCACCAGTGAGTGCTGCTGCCAGCTGGGCTGCCCGTGCGAGGCTCCTCTGGGGGCTGATGCTCAGAGTGAGTGATACCAGACTACCCTGCTTCCTCTGATTCCAGCTCTACCTGACACCAAATAAATATTTTCCTGTGCAAAGGCAAGTAAAGAGCTGTGGCTGCTCCCTAGGAGGGTCATGGCTGGGGATGAAACTGGAATGTTCATTGGCAGCCTCGGTAATATCCAATTCAGATTGCTGATGAATACATCCTGACTTTGGGCACATACCTCCTGTTTATACTAATGGGAATGTCACACACGAATGCTGGAGAATATTGCCCATTATTTTTGGTCTCAGAGCTCTGAGCTGAGAGATTCCCAGAGAAAAATGGCCATTTGCTCTATGTTGCAGGCTGCAATTCATTATATACAGTGCTTGGTGACTGTTATTTACCTTACAGAACTGTAATGTGATAAGAAGTCTGTGTAAGCCACTTAATGGTCTGTCTACCTTAAAGAAAATGTGTACCTGATCAGCCTCTGATTTATGCCACTTTCACCCCAGTGCAACTCTATTGACTCCACTGGTGTTACCCCTGATTTATGCCAGCCTTAGATGGACTTCATGAGTTTATGTACTTTATGTGACTCATGTATGCGAGGAGAAATGTAGTCTAATAAAATATCTGGCTGTGCATCATAGCTGGAGGTTCCTTGCAGAACTGTTAACAGGAGTACAACAGAGCCACGCTCTGCTCCTCTGCAGTGCATATATATTTCAGGGGGTTATATCCCATATCTCTGGAGATATAACTTAATGGTCTCATATTTGACTAATGTGCTGCCTTGCTGGCACAGTGTAGAGCTAGAACAAGGCAGCAGGAAGGGTAAACCTGTGCAATGAGAATAAGAACTTGAAACTTGACTGTGGGCTTTTTTTTTCACTTGGTAGCTCAAGTTCTTTGCCTAGAAACAAAGAACTTCCCACAGATTGCATCCCTTCACTCTGAAAACAACTGTTCTTATCTCAATCATCTTGCTGCATCAGCACTTATCATCTAGCTTTTGGGTAGGAAAACAGTCATTTTATGATGTTTATTTTGCAGTAACAGCCAGGACATGTAGTCTTAGATGCAGGACTCCTTGTTCCAAAAAATGTGTAAACAGATCAGGAAACTGCTCTCTGGCTCAACAATCCTGTGCTCCTGTTAATGAGGGCTCCTCTGATCACCATGGCAGCTTTTATCACCTGGCCTTGTCTGCAAGGAAAGTGATCATTCCTCTAATGTCTGGAGCTGGAGCATCAGGCTGAGCTCTGGTGAAGTTGTTGGGGTGATATTCATTACCTCTGCTGGGTTCCAGGTCAGCTCACCTTCTCTGGTGCTCCTGATGGCCAAAGCTGACACCTGAGCCCTCTCTGTAGTTAATCCTTGCTTCCTTCACCATCTCTCCTTTTAAAGTTTGCCCTCTTTCCTGTTAAGCTCTCAGACACATTTTCATCTAATGAATAGGAGTGATGGGTACACTCAGGTATCAGGTGTAAAATACAGAGGCTGGGTGAGTATCTCAGGAAAAATGTCAAAAACTCTTCGAAATTAATTCTGTACTGCAGGTACAGCATGACACCTTCTTAAACCACAGAAAGGTGCATTTTGGAGACACTAGTAATCATAAACTTGTTTCCTAGTCTGCACAGGTTTGTGGACAGCCTTTGCCAAGTGGTGTGATGATAAACTGAGAAACCATCAGATTTTGCTGCAGTATTTCACCAACTCCATTGACTTGTACCATTAAAAAAAATAAAAATTAAAGCTGCTAAGTTCTTAAAATGGAAAGTGCATCTTTCTTGGCATTTTAAAACAGCAAGCTGAAGGCTTGCTCTGCCTGTACATAGCTGTAATTTATGTTCATGCTCTCATAAGGGGTGTGCTTGCCCTTGATGCATGTGCCTAAGTCCCATTAACATTAATAGGAGCTGGATGCAAGCAGGGAGGTTTAGCTGGAATATTAGGAAACATTTCTTCACTGAAAGGGTTGTCAAGAATTGGAACAGGCTGCCCAGGGAGGTGGTGGAGTCACCATCCCTAGAGGGATTTAAAAGATGTGTACATGTGGTGCTTAAGGACATGGCTTAGTAGTGCCCTTGGCAGTGGGTAGGACCCGATGATATTACAAGTCTTTTCTAACCTAGAGTCCATCAATAGCTGATGCTGAATTCCCTAAATGCTGCCTTGAGTTCTAAAGCCCAGACTGGGCAGCTGCCTCACCACCCAGAGCTGCTCCCCTCCCCTCTGGCGCTACAACAGCCCAGGAAGGCTTTTTCCAGGGCTGGAGCACTGCAGTCATCCTCCTGTTATGCAGGCTGGGGTTGTGTACAGGGGTGGCTGCTGGGAGGTGTCTGACTGCCTTGGAAATGCACCACAGGAAGGAGATTCATCAGCAAGGGATGGTTTCTGCTCAGTTCACACTGTAATGAGCCCAAGCCCCTGGGTGGAGAAAACAGAGGTGACAGGAGGAGATGGGGAGATGGGAGGGGAACAACTTGTTTCAGGCAACAAATCAGTTGCTAACTCTGATCCAAAGCCATTTGCATCGATGATGTTGGCCCACAGCGTGTTGGAAATATAAGGCACTCTGTAGACAGCTGCCCAAGGGAATGCTAATTAGCTGCCAGGCAATTAATAATTAATCAGACTTTTGTTCATTGTGAAGACAGTGTTTTCTTTGGCAGCTTCATAGTGTTCTGAGTTTGCCTTGCCTTTCTTTCACAGGCTGATATCATCGTGCTGGAAGCAGGCTCTGCGGCGACATGCTTCTCCCTCCCTCTGGCATCCAGCTCGCCCTGGCCACATGTGCAGCCCAGGCCACGACCTCGGCCTTGGCTGGGCTCTGGCGGCCCATTGAACAGTCACAGGCTGCACAGGGAGTTGCTGCTGTGCTATTTTTAACCAGCTGGACAGTTAAATAATTCCAAGGCAGACACACACAGAGTGGTCTGTGCTGTGCCTAGGATCTGAGAGGGGAGAAGAGCATTGTATCGACCCTGCTGGGCTTGCTTGACCTTATCAAGCATAGGTTCTCAGGCTCTTTAATACAAAACAAAACAAAAAACAAACTTTCAGAAGTGAAATCTGTGCCTCACTGACGTCAGTGGGACTCCTGGCTCTTAATGCAGTGGAGCCTGGATCACGCTTAGCTGCAAGGCAAGAACTGTTCAGTATTTCCTTGCTTTCTAATGCTACAGAACTGTTTTTCCATGACAAACTTATGGTGAGTAGAGTCCAGAAGGAGAAGTGTCAAAATTTCTGCAGGAAAAAAGGATTACTTTTAAGAAATCTCTTCTGAAACAGGATGTCCCATGTATAGCTACTCCCCCTGATTTTGGACTAAGAAGAGATCTACAGAAAAATATTTTCTCCCATCTCTCCAGTGCAGTCCCCCGCAGCTGTCCTGTGGAGTGCTCCACAGCTCAGTGGAAAGCTGACCCTCTCAGGGATGCCAGGGAGAGCACAAGACCTGCTCCAGTGCAGAATTCCCACATGGTCATAGCCTCCTTTGGGCATCCCCCTGCTCCAGTAAGGGGTCTTCCCCAGGCTACAGGTGAGTATTTGCTCCACCATGGACCTTTACGGGCTGCATGGGAACAGCCTGCCTCACCATTGCCATCATTCATTAGGGGATGCAGGGGAATTTCTACTCCAGTGCCTGGAGCACATCCTCCTCCTTGACTGATCTTGGTGCCTACAGGGCTGTTTCTCTTGCTTCTTTCTCCACCTGCAGTTGCACCGGCACTCCCACCCCCCATCCCTCCCCACTACACCTTTTTAAATGTTATCTCAGAGGCTTCGCCACTGTTGCTGATGGGCTGGGCCTTGGCCAGTGGAGCCGTCTTGGAGCCAGCTGGCTCTGACTCTATTGAACACAGGGGAAGTTTCTGGCAGCTCCTCACAGAAGCCACCTCTACCCTGCCACCAAAACCTTGTCATGCAAACACTTGTCCGTCAAATAAAAGGCACAAACTCAGTCTTCAGGCACGAGGGAATCCACAGAGCAGCTCAACTTTGAAAGACAAATGCGCAGCAAACCAGGCTTCACTGATCCTGCTGTTAATAGGGCTTCTTATTTCCTTTTGATTCCTGTGTGTTAGCTCAGCTGCGTTTTGGGACCGAACAAGATCTTTCCACTAGTTCAATTTCAAACACGTGGTAAATGACTCTGTGCCTGGAGCACCCAAGGATCCCGGGTGGTCTCTGTGCAGAGACCAGAGCTGTTCCTGCTGCCAAGATCAGGCAAAACACAGCTCCCTGTTCCAGTGGAACCAGCGCTTGCCGGAGCCCAGCTGATGCGAAGAAGAGGAGGAGGAGGAGGAGGTTGCGACTCCCCTGTGCATCTCACACTTAAGGTTCTCGCCGTGTCTCCACGACCCAAATCGTCACATTTGCTAGCAGAGGCGTGTGAAGTCTTGTTAAAAGAATGTGGCTTGTGCTGATGCTCGGTGGCTCGAATGAATAATTTGTGGCCAGGGTGACTCAGGCAGCGCGGGCTGGCAGCCAGGAGCGGGCAGAGGAGCCAGGGACTCAGCAGCACGTCCGGACAGCGTGTGCTGGGAGCACGGCGTGTCTGAAGGACCAGCTGCAACCCGTGTGAGGCCCGCGTGTTCCTGAGAGCCCATTAGGAGAATACCAGCAAGCAAAAGGAATTTGGCCTCAGAGGTGTGTTTTTCTAGCCAAAAAGTATAGGCAAGTGGGTGGGAAGGCTGGACAGCAGAGTTCACGTTTGCAAATGGAAGTGATAGTGCACTTGGAAAATGTGACTCTGGGTTTATCCTCTCTTCTTTTCTCTACAACGGAGTGATGCCTGTCTGTCCTTCCTTCTGAGCTTCAAAAAGACATTCCCTTGGGAGGCAAAAGCCCTGCCTGTTTAACAATGCATGCAAAATAGGATGCTATGCCCTGCACAGTGCAGAAGTTCAATTTTCAGATAATACAGAATTGGGATGTCTTATCTAAAACTACTGGCAGGCTCTCCTGAGAGTCCGCACAGCAAAATTTACCTGCTTAGTACAGTGAATTTAAATCACCAGAGCCACACTGGCAAAACTCTCCTGTGCAGAACCTCATTCTGGTCTAAAGTCCTTGAGTAATTATTCTGTAATAAAGTCACTTAAATTTTAGAATAGAGTGTCCATGTGGAGAAGTTATATAGGCACAGCTATAACAGGATAATTATTTTGTTATAGCTATGTCAGTCAATTTCTCAGGGCGTCAGTCACATGGGAAAGTTGAAATTATGTATTTTTTACAGTCTACAGCAATTCTTTATTTTTTAATGTCCATTAGTGCTTGACTAATGCTGAATGATAGTGGAAATTCTCCAGAACAAAGACAGTGCTCAGAGTTTCCTCGTGGTTATCAAAGGAATTTGGATCTATTCTGGTAAACCTAATACGTAATGAATTGGCAGTGATTGGGGGTTTATAACTGAATTGACTGGGAATTATGAAACTGAAGTTTATTAAATTCAACTGAAACAGCTGAAACTCGGAAATTTGCGAAGTCCCTATTTATTATGTGTTAAGAGTTCTCAAGATTTTTTAAGAGTACACACAAAACCAGATTAAGATACAAAATTTTCTTATTCCTATACAGTGTTGGATGTTTCATATTTTATGACTTTATGACTAATCATACCTATTTTGTGGGTGTCTGAAACAGTTTAGTTCCTGAGGAAGTTGTTGCTAAGTCTATTCATTATGATTCATTATTAAATGCGGTGGAGATAGTCCTTTAGGATCAAACTATACCTGTCAAGGACAATGGCATATATGAGCTTTCTATGGGGTATGCCAGAGATGGCTTGAATCTGGAGATTAAAGCATGGCAGGAATTCGGAGCCTGGCTCCCCTCAGAGCTGTCTGTTGAAATGCTGGATGGAGCAAACAGGTGCCAACTGAATTTGTTGCCGTCACATTTGAATCCGAGCTGAAGAGATACCAGAACAGGGAAGGCAAAAAATCTCAATGCACAAGAGTGCACCGTGTAGCTCCTGCACGCCAGGCTGGGCACACAGCAAGCTGCCTGGGGAGCTGGGGCTTCTGCACAGGGAAGCAGACCTGATATGGGCTTCATAGAAAGCATGACTCAAAATGAAACCTGTCAGCTGTTTTACAGCAAAATGGTACCTAATTACGTGTGTTACATCTCCCTTCCTGGAAAAGGGGCTGGGTTTGAGGTGGAGGATGCCAACGTGCATATCCAAGTGGAGATGCCAGCTGGGAGGTACACAAGGACAAGGACAGAGCGTGGTCTGTCAGGCCACAGCTGCAGGCACATTTGGGAACGTGGATGGCATCTCCGTCACATCGGTGTCTCCCTGGGCACAGCCCATTCGTACCAAGGATGCTCCTCTGTCACCCCCTCCCAGTGTCACCCTGCCAGAAGGAAAGGGCTCTCCTAATTCAGCAATTCTTGTTGTCACACAAGACCTACTAGATCCGGTGGGGTAGACCACCGCATTTTGGTTTTAGTTTATCTCCATACATTCACCTCATTGGTTCTTTGTCTGAATTTGGGTTTTTTAGGGGAGGGAGGGAGGTCCATTTTGCACAGGGCACAAGGATAAAAAAAGGACATGTGTTTCCAGGGCTGCAACACAAAGGCTTAATCATGTTTCAGAACTGGAGTTATAAATTGATGGGGTGTTTAAAATGTTATCTAGTTCTAAACATCCAATGTTCAAATTCTGCCTTAAGGGGACATTAACTGATTATCAAATCACAATGAGATTCTTATAACTTTATTTTAATAAACAGTTTTCATAAATGTTAACATTTTAATGGATGATTACATTCATATTTAGCTAGCAGATGCATTCATGTTGATTGATGTTATTTCTGCGAATACCAAAGGAATTAAATAATGACTTGTCACTTATGGCAAAGAGCTGTTCTAGTATTTTTTAAATAAAAAAACGTTATTTGCGGTGCTTGATCAGATGGCGATGCTGCGGTCAGCTGCAGGTTCGGGGGAACCCCGAACTGTCGGGCAGCTCCCAATACAGCAGGCAGACCCTACAGCAACACCCCAAGCACGGGGGCACCGCGGGGAGCAGGGGAACCTCCCGCAGCCCTTCCGAGGCTGCCGTGTGCCCCTTGCCCCTTGTCCGGGCACGGCGGAGGGGCCAGCCCGGGGGAGGGCGAGGGGCCGGGCCGGGAGAGCCCGCGGGGGCCCGGGGAGCGCGGCCCGGCCCGGCCCGGCCCGGCCCAGAGCGGTGCTCTGTCCCCCTCTGGTGGCCGCCCTCGGGGCCGGTGCTTGTGCGGGACCCGCTGCGGGTTCCTGCCGCCCTCAGGGCCGGTGGCTATGCGGGACCCGCTGCGGGGCTCCTGCCGCCCTCGGGGCCGGTGGCTGTGCGGGACCCGCTGCGGGCTCCTGCCGCCCTCAGGGCCGGTGGCTATGCGGGACCCGCTGCGGGCTCCTGCCGCCCTCAGGGCCGGTGGCTGTGCGGGACCCGCTGCGGGCTCCTGCCGCCCTCAGGGCCGGTGGCTGTGCGGGACCCGCTGCGGGTTCCTGCCGCCCTCAGGGCCGGTGGCTGTGCGGGACCCGCTGCGGGTTCCTGCCGCCCTCCTGCCCCGCATTCGGCACCTGCAGCCCCTCAGGCCGGGCGAGAGGCAAAGCCAAGGCAGCTGTGGCCGGCGCCGCCCCGGCCCGGGGTCGGGCAGCTGGGTCGGAGCTCCCTGGCAGGCACATGTGTTTCCAATAAAGAACAGATCTGGGGGGTTTGTGTGGCTTTGCAGGGCAACGGTGGCTGAAGCGCGGCAGCCCAAGAGCTCCTGCAGCCGCCTGCTGCCGTGGGAAGAAGGGGCACAAAGCCCTCCCGTGCGGGAGTTCCGTGGTGGGGAAGGCGTGAAGAACCCTAGAGAGGGGCTTCCATTGTGATGAAGGCATGCAGAACCTGTCCTGTGCAGGTTCTGTTGCGATGAAGCCTGCACAGGCCCACTGTGAGGTCTTTGGGATGCAGAGCCCGCTGTGTGATCCCCATTGGGATGAAGGCTGCAGAGCCTGCTGTGTGATCCCCGTTGAGATGAAGGCTGCAGAGCCCACTGTGTGATCCCCGTTGGGGTGAAGGCTGCAGAGCCCGCTGTGTGATCCCCGTTGGGATGAAGGCTGCAGAGCCCGCTGTGTGATCCCCATTGGGATGAAGGCTGCAGAGCCTGCTGTGTGATCCCCGTTGAGATGAAGGCTGCAGAGCCCACTGTGTGATCCCCGTTGGGATGCAGGTCTGCAGAGCCCGCTGTGTGATCCCCGTTGGGATGCAGGTCTGCAGAGCCCGCTGTGTGATCCCCGTTGGGATGCAGGTCTGCAGAGCCCGCTGTGTGATCCCCGTTGGGATGAAGGCTGCAGAGCCCGCTGTGTGATCCCTGTTGGGATGCAGGTATGCAGAGCCCGCTGTGTGATCCCTGTTGGGATGAAGGCTGCAGAACCCCACCATGAGGTAGGTGAGGTCTGGGCTGTTAGCTCCCAGTGCCCTAGGGAGTGCTGGGGGTTTTGCTATGCTGTGTTAGCCAGGATGATGGTGGATGAAAAAGAACTGTACTGGAGATGACCTCTTTTTAGGGTGATTCTTGCTGGCTGGCTTTTGGATGGCTCGCCAGGAGAGCCTCTTGGTGTTTCATCCTTCTATGTTTCCTGGTGATTGAGTTTTTTTTTCAAGAAACCTGAAGCAAGCCTTTGATGCTCTGTAGTCCTTTTGGACCTGGGTGGCTCCTGTGTGCCCACACTGAGACAAGTGGCTGTGTCTTTAAGAGGCAGAATTAAGCAAGTGTGTTTTTTGCCTGCTTTCCAGAAGCAGTTATTAGGTTTGAGGGATCGGTTATCTGATCCAGCATGACAGATGGGTGCAATGTTTTTGTCTATGATGACTAAACCTATAGAGATTGCATAAATAACTTCAAGGTACATGTTCTGATTTCATTGTAAGCGTGTTTACATGTAGGTATATGTATATACTTAAAAAAACCCAACAACAAAACCAACACAAAATCTCAGTGGTGATCCTCTACCATGAATGGCTTGAAAACTTTGCCCTTTTTGCATCTGTGCCCTGATTTCTCTGAGTGACTCTCCCTGACATAGGTGTGAGTTAGCCTGCTGTCCATGAACTGTCTGAGACTTTCTGGAAGGCAGCTCCAAACTCATTCCAGCTTGTTGCCTGCAGAGATCCAGGAGAGCTCTAAGTGCCAGCAGTGATGTTTTCTGTCCCAGCTGCACCAGCTCAGGGTGGGAGGCTCATTCATGGGGTGGCATGGTCCTCCCCCTGGCTAGCAGAGCCTAATATCTGGTACCCACTTCTCTGCTGCAAATAGCTTGTGTTGCTTAAAGTACTCAAATCCTGTTAAAATGTCTGACATTGAAGATACAGCTTTGCATTCACTGGAAGTACCCGGAGCTGTTTAATAAGTCCTGGTTGTACAGTCCTAGTTAGCAGCCTGGTTGTTTCCTGTGGGATTTATTTTACCTCACTGTGGACCTGTATATCTCATGCTTTTAAGCATTTGACTCCTGTCATGTAACTCCTGTGCAGTTATACCTGTGTTATGTCTTTCCCTGGTAATATACTGTGGTGTTTCTGTTGCTCACTGAACTCGGGCACTACAGGTAGTGGCTGGATGTGCAGCTGTGTGCTTCTGGAGTT